ATTAAATTCAAATCAAACGCGTATGTAGAGTCAGTGTTGTACGCCGTATAAGAAAAATTTCGGTTTCGCGATAAGAAACTCTTTTATAGTTTCTTATACTCGTTTATCGCGTTATTAGAGTCACGGGAGTGCGAGGAAAAGTGCATCAAGGAATTCTCCAATGGGTCCGGTGGACGAGAGATGCAGCTGGACTATTTGCTACGAAGTAGGAGTGTTTTGGAGCCATCGCAGAACTTCTAATGCTAATTGTTCATATTGCGTACATGCGTCATTTTATTTTAAAATGCCACATATATGTAATATAACAGTTAGCAGGTCGTGAGTTAAAATTTAAAGTCCCTCCGGTGCTCAATCGTGCCAATCGGCACGAGTTACTGGTTGTAATTATTCCAAAAAATTATTGACGAGCACATGAGTTATTCCAAAAAAGGATTATTCCTTTCTTGAAACTGCTCATGAAAACAGTATATTTTGTTGTATGTTATATTAATAGTTCAGGATAGGTCTTCTTGTCTCATCGGTTAAATTCATTTAATTAACAGTGCAATTAATTAATTAATGCACTTTTCCTTTTTATTACGTGTTTCGTTCGCGTTTAGTAGTGGTGAAATCGAGTATTAATTTACTCGATTTTGTCCAATAAAGCATGTAATAAATGTCTTACATGCATTGCTTCGTACTTAGTTTATTAATTCGCGATTTCTTTTTCGATATAATAAATAAATGAGCAAGAAGACAAAAACCYATTCGCGACGGATAGATTCTGGCAATTAAGTGGTGGCTCAAAGCCCAGTTCTTTCATTAGAACAGCCAACTTAATCAAAGGAGTCGTCCGAGATATTTTTTAATTTTTTTTTTATATTTTCAAAATCTTTTTGAGAGTCATTATAAATGACTCGTAGAGTTATAGCCCGCTTAGATTTATTTGAGAACATTTAATTATGTATTAATGAATATTTAGATTAGGATTTTCAGCTTCTAATACACTAATCTCCCGTTTCTCCCCCCATACTTTCTGCGTTCTCATCTAYGCGTGWGCYCWGGTGTTAYACGTATGGGTGAGAAACGGTTGGTATGGGTTTAGTTTTAAGTTTTTTCCCCCCATGTGGCGTCTGTCATTGTGCTAGTGATTGCACGGTGTACATTGCACTTGTGTGTGCGCTAGGTGTGTGCATTGTACATCGTTTCGGATACGTAATACCGCGCTTATTATTTTTTAAAGTTATTGAATAAAAATAACTTGTAGAGTCACGCATACGGTACGAATTTTTTTTTTAACAATCGTTTTGCATAGTAGAGTTTGCCACATTTATTTGCGGAAACTATGATATACTTGTATAACACTAGTATGCATATATACTAGTTTATACTTGTATTTTTGCATTAGTCATATTTGCAATAATCATTAGCCTTGACAGACGATTACAGCAATTGGTACGTACTCCCATAAATTTAGAAAACGCGTTTGAAATGGGGTGTCGGAGGTGCCCCGGGRCATGCTCTCTAGTTTAGGCTTATGCACCCTAGTGGTATGTGTGAGAATCGTGGAGTGAGTGGGTGGGTTTGCATGTATATTTTTTTAGAGCGAATGTGAAACTTTAATTATAAGTAGGTAGGAACCCGGAATTGCACGTGGTATACTTGCACTTTTCAGTGCGAGTCCCCACCTCCGGGTTTTATACGGAATTGTCACAAAATTATATCTTTTTATTCTATCGTGCTTGACTTGTAAATCTCTTTTGTGACAATTCTGTAATATGTATTATGTRTCATGATTCAAAGGTATTTGCAACCATTTAAGAAATTCATTTCTATTTCGATTCTATCTCGAAYGAGATRGAGTCGAAATCAAATCCGCAAAACCTTTGATGAATTGATACTTAGTTTTAAGTATTATAACTAGCACTTCGCACTATCGCGATTTAGTCTTTGAGAAATGTTTTATATAATTCAATATAAAGAATAAATTAAATAAAAATATTGCAAATAAATGCATTGCATTTTTAGTATTATTTTTATTTCAATTCGATTATATTACTCTCAATAGTAAAAGTGCGAAGTGTTAATAGGTCATCGATTAGCATAATTAACTGCT